TAAAAGTTGCCAAGGCCGGACAGCCCTGGGCTACGGCAGGGGGGGGTGGGCCAGAGAGGGGAGGGGACCCTCTGCCCCGGGCGTGATGCCCCACACTCACTTGTCCAGGCAGGCCACGCTGAGGCACTTCTCCTGGGGCTGCGCTGGGCTGCCCTGGGTGGGGGGGGCCGTGGCCGAAGTGCTGCTGGGCTGCTCCTCCTGGAAGATGGAATCGATGAACGTGGAGGGCGAGAGCGGGGGGCCCACGGGGCTGACGTCCTCTGCGGAGGGGCTGCAGGAGGGGCTCGGGGGCTCTTCCTTGATACGGACCAGGGGGCTGCTCCTAAGGCAGGCCGGGAGAGGAGGAAAAGAGGAGAGAAGCAATGAAGGCAGGCAACTGGCCGGGCGGAAGACCGGGGGCTTTGAGGACGAGGCTTGTGGCTGCAGGCACGAATGGGAAGGGTCCCACCACCACCACCACAGAGTTGCCACCCCCCAACTCTCCTCTCCTCAAGAGCTGGCAAAGGTGTCAGCCCTTGGGGGGGGGGTCTGAAGGGGGAGGGCAAACCCTGGGGGCAGATAACAGAATAACACAAATGGCTGTCCAGTCTCTTCTTGAAAACCTCCAGTGTTGGAGCACCCACAACTTCTGGTGGCAAGCAATTCCACTGGTTAATTGTCCTCACTGTCAGGAAATTCCTCCTTAGTTCCAGGTTGCTTCTCTCCTTGATTACTTTCCATCCGTTCCTTCTTGTCCTTCCCTCTGGTGCTTTGGAGAATAGCTTGACTCCCTCTTCTTTGGGGCAGCCCCTGATATACTGGAACACTGCTATCATGTAACCCCCTCGTCCTTCTCTTCGTTAAACTAGACATATCCAGTTCCTGCAATTGTTCTTCATATGTTTTAACCTCCATCCCCCTGATCATCTTTGTTGCGCTTCTCTGTACTCTTTCTAGAGTCCCAACATCTTTTTTACATCGTGGCAACCATGGAGATGGAGATGTACGTCCAGTGTTGACAGCAGAAGTTCCAGAATGGGAAAAAGAGAGCAGAACTGACCCATTTTGGCAAGCGGCCGTCTCCCCTTTTACAAGCAGGAGCTCCTGTGTGGCCATGACACGCATGCTGTGGCTCCATCCTCTGGCAGCGTGAGGGTTGGGGGAGAGGAAGCAGTAGGGGGCTGGGGTCCTGAGGACCCTGAACCCAGTGAACATGGGCAGGGGACCAAGCAAGTCGTTGCCCTACCAAGGGGCTGAGAGTGCAGAGCGCAGACTATGCTCCTTTAGGCAGGATTCCTGGCCCCAGAGTCCCCCTGAGGCTGAGCAGCATGGGGCCAGGGCTTCTGGGCACATGATGGAAACCAGCGTCAGAGCCACCGACGAGTGACAGGAGCAAAGCTCACCCATCCAGCTGGGATCCTGGGGCCGCTCTGCTGAGAGACATGGTCACCAACGGGATCGGGAAGAGAAAGCCACAAAGCGACCTGGAACCGGCAATCAAGCCGTGCCAAACCTTTGAACCAATTTTCCTTTCCTTGCTGGAAAGTGGAGGGGGATAACTGCTCGGCTCCCCCCTCTGGGTGCAGATGCAAACTCCGACACAGCACCCCCTCCCCCCCAGGAACCTTCTGAGGAAAGGAGGGGGGGCAGCCTGGCCTTCCCCCCCTGCCCAGAGAAGCCACCTACCTCTCCTCCTCAAAGCTGCTGCTGCTGGGGCAGGGGGACGGGCTGGACTGGGCCAGTTCGGTCACGTCGGAGATGATGGGGCCGGAGTCAGGAGAGTAGAGCTTGGGGCCGCCGTACGCTGGGGAGGACGCCTGCAATGAGAATGGGGGGGGGGAGAAAGATGGGTCTTTGCCCCGCCAGCCATGGGCCAAGAGGCAGCCCCTCCCTCCCTCCCTCCCCAAGAGGCGAGTGAAGCACAGGGGCCCCCTTCCCCACAGGGGTCTTTTCAGCAGGGGCCCTGTAGAGGTAGGGGCCAGGTAGAGGTCGGGAGCAGCAAACTGCCCCCTCCAAAGCCTGTGTGCCTCTTCTCTCTACAGGATCTCATCCCTTCACATCACCATGGCAATGTGGGAAAACTACCCCAGGCTGGTCCAATGACTTCACCTGCCTGATATCAGCTAGGTTACACCAACAGGATGTTGCAGCAAACTGCTCCCTGTTTGGGGCCTCCTGGCTTGTATATTCTTAAGGACTGGTAAGGAGTTGAACCAATAAAATGCTATTGCCATGTTAAACTTTTGCTGCTTGGAAAACTGTATCAAAGAATAAACGCTGCAAAGGCGGTCAGCCATATTTGCACCCTGCAATGGCGGAGCACTGATTCCTTCAGGGCCCCTTCCTTGCCCCCACTCCTCCCTCCAGCAGAAACTCTGAGAAACTGCCCCTGCCCCGGGAAATCCCTTGGCGATTCAGCTGGAGAAGAGGACGGAGGAGGCCCGAAGGAGGGCAGGCGGGCAGAACCCAGTCAGAAGAGGGAAGGTGGGCTGGCAGGGGAGGCCAGGAGGGACCCTGGCGGGAAGAGAGGCGGAAAGGCCGGGCTCAGACCACAGGCTTAAGGCCGGGCCTGGATGAAGGGAACACAACTCCCGGGCCGGCACAACGTGGGAAGGGAGCTGCATCTACGGGGGCAGAAAACAGCGGGATCCGGGCACGCTTTTCCCGAGGGACAAAGTTTATGAAAGGGCAGAAGCCTTTGTGAGCTGCAGCTCAGGAAAACTCTGGCCGGGACCTGTGATCCTTTTAATAACATTCGTTTGCTGGGAAAGATACGCTTGGATTTTCCCCCCCCCCCTGACCTAAGGCCGTGCCAGACCCCCTGTCTGAGGATTCAGGTCCGAGGGCCGGCCGGAGTCCGAAGGGGTCTATCAAAGGCAGCCAAGCAGAGAGGGGCCTGCTTAGCCCTGGGGTGGGAGACCGAGGGGGGGGGGACTCCAGGAAGCATCAATTAGCACCAGGTGAGAAAACTCCCACCGGAGGACCCAACCTTTGCAGCCGCCCAGAAACCGGACGTGGCCAGAGCCGAGCTGGGCTCCAGCCGAGCTGCAAGGCTTGGAATCATCAACTGTGCAACCCCTTGGGGGAAGGTGGACAGGGTCAGAGAAGGACGTGTGGCAGGCTGGTTGTGTGTGAGAGGGACCCGGAAGGGAAGAAGAGTTAGGGGAGAGATGCCCTCTTGGAGAGTCTGCCCAGGGACGCCTGAAGGAAGACATGGGGGGGGGGGGGGAAGAGGCAACAAGGGAAGGCATCCGCCCAGCCCAAGCCATACCCCTCCCCACTCACCGAATAGGGGGACGGGCTGTGGAGGTGCTCCAAGGAGTACTGCCGGCCATACTTGGGCATGCTGTGGGGTGAACCGCCGTCGTTCAGCATCAGGGGGCTGCGAGGGAGAGCGAGGGGGCAGTGAGGCCACCCTGCAGGCCAGGGTCCCCGGGCCACCCTGCCAGACCCAGCGCTTCCCCCACCCCGGCTGCCCATCAACCGTGCACCCCTGGGGGCTCACATCTTCCTCTTCACCCCGAGGATCCGGTTGGACTGCACCAAGGAAATCAGGAACTGGATGAGCTGCAGAGGAGGAAGAGGAGGCCGGTGAGGCTGCTGCACGCTGCACAGGAGCTGGGGGGACCGAGGCAGCCCAGAGAAAGAAGGCAGAGGGGCTGCTGAGGCCGTCGCCCCTGGATCTCCAGACTCGGGGATGGAGGATCTGGCCTTCATCTGCTCCGGGCTGCTTCCGTGATCTCCCACCGATGGGCGGACGAGCTCCGCTCCTTGGGCAGGCTGTGGATTCACATCAGGGCCCTCCGGGGGGGGGAGGTTGCTCTTGAGCTGGGCGGGGGGGGGGGGCAAACTCACCTTACTGACGACCTTCTGCTGCTGCGTGTGCTTCTGACGCAAACTGGCCACCTCTCGCCACAGGGCCTCGTTCTCGCTGCAAGGAGAGGGGCGACCGGGCCGTTAAGCGAGTCGGCCTCGTCAGCTGCCCCTGAAGACGGAGGCCGCAAAGGGCCTCCTGCAGATGGGCACCCCTTCCAAGCAGAGGGCAGCCCACGGGGCGCCAGAGATGGAGGGGGGGGGAAGCTGGCACGCGCCCTGCAGGTGCCCAACTGAAGGGAGCCGGCAAAGCTTTAGTCTTGGGGGAGGGGGGGGAGAGAGAGAGAGAGCAAAGGCTCCTCATTCTGGAATGAGCCTACTTGAAAACAGGCTTGGGGGGGGGACAGAAAGTTTATTAAAAGGCAGAAGCCTTGGTGAGCTGCAGCTCTGAGCTTCACCTTCTGGAAGGTGTTGCTGGCCGCCCGTGGCAATAACAGCGGCCTTTAGACTTGTATACCACCCCCCAGGGCTTCAGGAGCCCTCCCTGGGCAGCCCACCATGCAAGGGTTATGTGCCCATTGCCCCCAACCCCCTGGGTCCTCCTTCCCATCAGCCGGAGCGTTTGACTCTCCAGAGAGGCCCCTCGGCCTTCTGGCCCTTCTTGGCCTGGCCTCCGGGCGTTCAGGGCACGGCAGCCCCAGCGAATCTGGGTCTGGGGCTCTCCTAGAAAACCCCCACCCTGCAAGGGAGACCACCGGCGGTCTGTCAGAGCTGCCCCGCTCGGGTCCCTGGGAAAGAAAGACCCTCGGTTCCATTTGGTTGAAGTGACGGGTTCTTTTACTAAGGACTGTTGGTTGCAGTGAAGGCAGGCTAGAACCAAAGTTACCACTCAAAAAGCTGCAAACTTCCCCCCTCATCCTGTCCCCCCCACAACCAGTTCGTCTTCAGCCAATAGAGAGCCGCAGAGGTGTTTTGAGAACCGCTGGGACGTCTGGGGCAATCCCCATCCCGTTCCCAGGCTTCGTGGCCTTGAAGACTGGGCACAGGCTGGTTCCGTGCATCTCTGATCTCCATCAAGATGGCAGCCCCCCCTCCCCATTCCCCATCTCTGCCCCATACATGCTCATTGCCCATTTGCCCTTCCTTCCCTCCCCCCTAACCACTGATGGCAGGCTGCTAGCCGGGTGCCAAGCTGAAAATGGCAGAGCTGGCACAGTCCTTGTTTAGCGACAACTGGGACCTGCAACTTGGTCATTAGGCAAAGCGGGTCATTAAGTGAAACCACGGCTGTGTTTGTGATCTTATTTCAGCTTTCTGTTGCTTTTCAGACCTGCAAAGGTCGTAAATATGAGGACTGGTTGCAAAATTACTTTTCCTTCACCCTCATAATTACAAAGAGTCAGTAAACGAGGAATGACCTACATTGCTAGCTACCCACAGGATGCTTGGCTTTCAGAGAGAGAAGTGGAGGAATTGTGGGGGCCCCACCCCTCCAATCCGTTTTGTCTGCTCATGCAGACTTAAGGCAGCAACAGTTTGGTCTCTGCCTCCAGGATCTCAGAATGACAGAGCTGGAAGGGACCTTGGAGGTCTTCTAGTCCACCCCCCTGCTCTGCCATCTGGAGGTCTTCTAGTCCAATCCTATTACTATTTCAGACAAGTGGTTATCCAATCTCTTAAAAGCCTCTAGTGATGGAGGACCCATCCCACTCTGCAGTGCATTTTTAGTATCTTACAAATATGACCTGTTACTTTATTATTTTATTTAAAAAAATAAATAAACACAGCCAAAGCTCTCTTTGGCAGTTTGCAATAAAATGTACCTGTGCCCGGCACTTGGGATGCGTTAAGTCTCCGTTACCGGACTTTACTATTAGTTGATTAATCATCACGGTTGTTGTTATATTTATTGTTTTGATATTTTTAAATTGTTTTATAGTTTTAGAATTGTAAGTGGAGCCACTTTGCTGAGCTGGGCAGCTACAGGAACGGAACAGATCAATAAAATATTTTGAATGCTTGCCACGCAGAAGGAACGAATTGCTCTAGTGGCGTATCTTGGGTAAAGTAAAAATGGCAGATTCCACTCTCATCAAGAACCGAAGCGTAACAGAAACCTTAGCTATTCTTCCTGAATTAGGTTCGCACGACGCCTCCGCTCTTAAATTGCTGGGACACAGGGCAGCTTTGTGTTGACTTGCAAGGTGGCCTCCGGATCAGAGCTACCTGCGCAAGAAGGCTTGAGCTAAGGCTGGGGTCTGGTTACACGCCCGGCATCCTGCCCCGCAGGTAGTGAATCTGATACACCTCTCCCCCCCCAAAAAAACCTTACACAATATATTTCATCCTCAGTCTATGCCAGGGGTAGGCAACCTTGGCTCTTTTATGACTCGTGGACTTCAACTCCCAGAATTCCTGAGCCAGCACAGCTGGCTCAGGAATTCTGGGAGTTGAAGTCCACGAGTCATAAAAGAGCCAAGGTTGCCTACCCCTGACCTATGCAATATGAACAGAGAGAAAAAAAGGAAAAAATAGAAGAAAAAAACAGGATGAAAAGTTAACATTAAAACAACAGAGAAAATGCAGAATGGTTTTAAAGAATATCATGTTCTGAAGAAGGTAAGACAAAATTGAACAATATTCAAAGTGACGAAGTGAGCCGGGATGGAATGGAAGTGAGAAAATGGGGGAAGGAGGCCTGTCTACTGAAAAGACGAAAGCAAAATTGCAAACCTATAAATTCTGATCGAAAGGATGTTGAATTTGATAACAGCTACAAGGTTATTAGTAGGGCAATATTGGAAGAAGGATGGCTTGCCTACTATAGAAGAATGGACGCTTAAAGTGTCAAATTTAGCAGAAATGGCTAAGATTTCTGCCTATTTGAAGGATCACTCACAAGAAAGATACATTTCGGTTTGGAGAAGATGGATAGATTATATTCAGAATAAATACGGGACTAAAAAGTTCCATTTAGCCTATGAGTAAATTTTAGAGTATTATTAGCATTAATAGTTTATTATAGTGAAATTTTTATTAGTTTTAATTATACTATTACTTTTAGTATTAGTATTGTTTAACAATATGGACATCCTATTGTTTAATGATTAGGATACTGATTTGTTTATGTTTTAATTATTATTATATTTATGTTAAAGGGGAGTTAAAGTGCATTATGGACTTGATTATTTATGTAGTTGGTTAATGTTAGTTAGATTATGATTATTATATTTGTAACCCTGTATTCAGTTCTGGGAAGTGGGGGAGGGAGAGGGGGGGATTAGGGTGGGTAGGTTTTGGGGTTTATATTGTAATTTTTATAAAACTTTTCAATAAAAAAAAAAATTCTGATCGAAAGGGTAGAAAGGATAATAATGAATAAACTTGACAGTGGCTGGTGTTGTGTTATGCTGGCCCCACCAATGTTGCTTTTTGGTTGACGAATGCACAGGTAGGATCACGTTCAACTTGTGTTAACTGTGTTCTTGATGGCTTTTGCTGATCCTGGTGGCCGACTGAGCTTATGTGCATGCGTTTGTGTATCTATATATAGATGTGTATGGTATGTGTGTGTGTGTGTACATATGTTTTGTTTAATATTGTTTTTAACTGCTGCTAGGCACCCAATGTTTTAATTGGAGATGAGTGGCAATTAAATTAAGCTAATAAATACATATCTGCCGTGCTCTCAGCGGCTCCCACTGTCCCCACAGAGAATGTTTCAGACCAGCTACGGCCCTCGCATTTGACCTGACCCTCAACCCAAAATTTAGAGGCCC